AGGATTATGTTATTGACTTGCAGAGATAAAATTGAGCAATAGTTGTGGCATTGGTATAAACACAGATAAAAGTCTCAAACAGCCCTGAGACAAGGTTTTGGAATCTGACCTTCCTAATCATTAATGCCAAATATTTGCTCCAATCAATTTGATTTAGAGACTTCTTGCTAAGTGTATTGAAGGCAGTAATAGACATTTTTGCAATTTCCTGCCACAAATTTTTCTACTGCATCACATATCTTACTTTCCTGAGACATGCTTGCAGAGGGTCAATGCATATGATGTATGGCTAAGAAATTTCTTTGAACACTTTTCTCAAAAAAAAAAAAAAGTATGAAGCAACATTATACAATTGAAATGATGGTCTAGAAAAATGAAGTATCTTTATATAAAACAATAAGATCATATGAGAGGACTGGCAATGATTTAATTTTCATCAGGAAAATCGAGGAAAACTTGATTAAAATATCAGACTTTTGGACCCCGGTATCCATTAAACGACTTTCCATTTCCAGAAAACAGGGATATTTCATTGATTTCCTTGGGTAAAATGGGGAATTTTCAGTAGACTTTTCTGTGACACCTTAGTAATGACGCGGGGTCTTGTTTAACATGTTAGCTAGGATAGGAGGATGTGTTCCAACATTTGTACATGCCAATTTATTGCCTCGTACAGCTTTGATATCAAGCCACAAACTGTTCTTTTGTAAAAGGGGAAAATGGGCAAAACAAATATATACAATTCTCAACAAATTTTCGAGACAAAAAAGTGATTAAATTATCCTGCTTGTCACTTTAACCATGTTCATGTCAATGTAGGGAAGGGGACACAGTGTCTTTTAGTAATTGGTTCAGATCAGAGGAAGAATAATAAATTCTCAGGATGTAAAAATAGGTTTTTTTAAATCTGTATATGAATCAAAAATAATAATTACACAACATGTTAGCTTCATCTTAAGAAAATGAGGTTTGTAGGTCATTTCGCCAGCAACTTGTATGCTGATCTAAATCTCATATTAAGTATTTGTGTAAAAACATGTTCAGAGGTATTAACTTTTGACAAGATTTTTTATATCAGATGAGAATGAACCACAAAAACAGGAGGGGGGTCACTCAGGTGCAAATTGTGACCAACGCGAGTCTATCTATCTGACATTCCAGCTGTTGACATTTGTAATTGGACATCGGTTGGTGACAGCTACCACTGAATCAAGTCTTCCCAGTGTCCCCATCATACGTCCATTACTTATGGCTGACTGACCGGGCTACAATGTTCTAACACTACAGTAAAACATGCGTGTTATTGTGAAGTACCAGGGACGCACAATTCTGATTCCTTATTAATGTAGTATGTGATAGCCATTGAGTTCATATTATATGTGTTTTAAAGCTCAATTAATTCACTGTTAGCCTGAATAATCTATTACCCTGTTTTACTGTATACCAGGTACTGAAGAGCAAGTTAAGGTTAATTACTAATTGACCTTTCAAATTTTCATTTTATCTTAATCAGTTTTTTGCCTGAAAAGATTTGACAATAAGAATTGTAATAGAAATACATGTATCAATATAATGATGCATTGCAAATGCATGCACATATTTTGTATAGCAATTATTTCATGTTGTATTTATCTTGTCATTGAACTTATTTGTATATTTAAATAGCATGGAATGCTTTCTTTGTTTGTTAATGCGGGAAATGACAGTTTTGATATTGCAGAAATAATGCATAATCTACATAAGCTGGTTTTATATCTATTCCTGTATAAATTATTTGTATAAAAATTATAAAAAGGGGTCCAGGTATAATTGTAAAATTGTATTATTGGTCTGCATGTATATTTCATGGATGGAAGAGCTTACTTCTTAAGAAATCTTTCAAACAGATTTGTTTTTAAAAATAGTTTAAACAAGCTTATTTATTAATGATTTTCATGAGAAATTAAGCAGAAATTAGAGGTACTGTGAGCAATGAGCTCACTAAATGATATCCCCCACCTCCCATATGAATATAATGGGAGTGTCCATGTTTTGTTGTGGGAAACTCAAAATTTGTGTCGGATCGAAAAATTAAATAGGAGTTGCACAATGGCAATATGTAATAAAGATTCTGTGAAAGTTTCATTAAATTTCACTCAGTGGTATAAGAGGAGTTGCGGATAAGACATGGGTACCCCAAAGCGTAACAGACGGACGTACGGAATGACAGACGGATGGACATACCGATTACTATATACCCTCCCACTTTTCAAGCGGGGGGGTATAAATATTGTGTGGATGTAAATATAAATGAAACCTTGCTAACCCAGTACTAGAACCACAAGAACTGTAAAGAGAAATTGCAGGGAATGGGATACAGAAAATAACCATGTTTAAACCAATGAAAAACAAATCTTCCATAACTTTGGAAGATGTATACTGGTATACTACTTCTAATTTTAAGTAGTGCTTTGAGTGTAATTTTTAATGAGCATTTTTTGAAAGAAATTTCCTTTGGCTATATGAGCACTTGAAAGTTTCAAGTAATTTTACACTTTTAATGATGTATACTACAAGTACATGTAAGTAAAATATTGCTTCTATTTCCTTGACTTTTAGTATTCCTGGTGAAGAAGCTTAAAAAATTCAAAGCTTTATTTGAATGCATGTTGAAGTCATTAATTTGTATTGAAAGTGTCACACATTTATCCTGGAATCACACAGATGAGATGATCAAATTCCCCTCCCATCTAAATTGGCAAATGCAAAAGAATCTTTTGCATTGATCTTAGGCAAATTTTTTTATTTAAGAAATTCAAATCACTTCACATTAGATAATGCAAAATTGGTTATGACACACTACATATTCTTGGCACCAGCGGAAAGACAAAATCAAAAAATGGTAACTAGGGTATCACATGACCTCTGACAGACCATGCGTTTGATCAACTGATACACCAGCAAAAAAAAAAAATGAAAAAATTTCATTCAATCCAGCTGCCAAGGAATATGATTTTAAAACCAGCAGATCTGTAAAAAATGTACGGCATTTCAAAGCCATGAAAAGTCTGCTATATACCGAAAAATCCCAACCAGACTATGTTCCTTTGTGCTTTATGGGAGAAACAAGCACGTTATACTGAACAGAAGGAAAGAATGTTTTAATTAGTTGTGAAATATTGCAGTTTCTTTAATTGCTTCCTTTTAATTATTCTGGATAGGACTGCTCTACCACTTGACCTTGAATTTTTGGGTAAGTTGCACTCGCTCAGACGTTGCAGAATCCTGTAAATATATCTAAAAATGTCTTCCACTCTTAGCATCACTGAGCGTATTGCCAGCAGCTGATGCAGACGGCTTTTAATCTGGTCATGTACCTACCTATATCTATGATGTACTAAGGACATTATATCCACAACTTTTGTTGTTGTTTACTTTAAATTCCTGATGTGATTTCTTTTTCATTTGTAAGCATGCATGCATATTTGTATCTGAATGCATTGTATATGTATATTCAGGCTTTGGCTTGATCATCATTTTATTTCTGCCTGTTAAATGTCCGATGAATCAATGTTTCTTACTTAACTTATCAAAATCTTAAAATTCTTTGAAAGCCAATGAAAAATAAAATGATAAAAAATGAATACTTTCAAAAATAGCTAAAGTGATTTAAAAAAAAAAAAACTGGGTAACATCTCATACTGTGTATCATACATACTCTTATTCAAAGAATGTATTATGTCTCATACATAAAAGCTGTTTCAAACAACAGTTAAAAACAAATTAAGATGTGTCATATAAGCCATTTATAGAAAGTAAAAACATCTGAGTTTCTTCTGATTCATACAGGGCTTTCTTCTATTTTATTCTCTAATAACGACACCCTGAGGCCTCTTTATGCCTGCTGTGTATTAGATCATCAGATTAACTCTTTGGCTTTAACTTATTTGATACAGTGACTCTAGTAGTGGGAGGTGATGAACCCGTTACCCCTCCCGCCTCTTGCCTTGCTACCCTCGGGGGTAAGAGATTATACCTGAACTGGAAAGTCTATATGTATATTACATGGCAGGTGTGTTTCTCTGTGTTATCTTGGTTACATTACAGAGCCAAGATCTAAACATACTGTATGCCTCATATAATCCAAGCATTTCATCAGCACTGTGTTGTATCAATTTAATCTAATTACATACAGGCTAAATAATCAGCTGACTTCACTTAATAGGTTTGTGTATTGGGATTAGGAATCTATCACTGTCGTGTTTGGAAATTCAGAAAGGTTTACAAAATCACGAATTTAATTCCACATGGTATCTTCAAGCCTTGATGAAGATACATTGTGCAGTTTATACCTTTGACCTGAAAAATATTTTTACTAGATAATACAGTTCTTTTTTCCTTTTTTTAATGATTTTGTGATTCACAAGAGGCCAGGCTCCTTTACACTCGATTGCCTTACATCTCATTGTTTGTGTTACTTATTTAAAGTTTACTTTCGCCTCTCCCCTCACATGTTTCAATTTTGTTTATGGTTTAGGATGGTCTTAGGTTAAAGGAGAGTGCTAAATGGTGACTATTTGTTTTCTTGTATTCATTTTTTGTTTTTTGTTTTTTAGAAATTTGTTTTAGCAGTATGAATGCAATGTAAATCCACCTTTTTCCATGGCAGCAATTTTTACATCTTATCTTTAAATTTGTAAAGTGCATAGTGTATTGAGGAAATTAATGTTATACACATCAAAGTGAATGAGTAAAACGTAGTTTCATCCTTAAAAGCAAGACACCTAACACTGACTACTCTGGTGGTCCCAAGGATATTGTACATCACTAGCTATTGTAAACAATGGCTTAAATCATCCCACTGTAGATTATAGAGGAATGAAAATTTTTTGCTCTGACTCTAAGACTGGTGGGTTCCAAACATATTAACAAAAGAAAAATACATTGACTGACAGTGCCTTCCAGTTTATGAATGTTATATCTTGATGTTTTGTTATATGTTGCTTTTTTTTTCTTTTCAGGTCCAATGTAGTCGTATTAGGCTGTCCCTAAATGGCAGCACGGGGACCGCCAGAAGATGAAGACGACAAGAATCACGAGAGATTGTACGTTAAGGTTCAGCGGGAAGAACGCAAACTTATCCCCCCTGTCCAGCTAGCTAGACAAGAGATCAGAATGACCTATCTGCCCTCGGATCAACCACTGCCATGCATCATCACTACCTCATCATCCTCCGAGGGCAGACGACAGGAAACGGAAGGAATCGTGGGTATGGAAGTCAGTCCACTGGGATCGCAAAGCAAGGTCCGAGTGCCAAAGATGGCTGGTCCCCATGGAAGCCCAATTGCTACTTCGACTGTCATGGAGATGTCTTCATCTGTGATGGCATCATCCAGCAGACAGGCAAAAATGGAAGTGAAGTCTTCTAGCAAGTCATCCCAGCAAGAGGAACTTCTCAATGCTCAAGTGTTGGAATTTTTTGAAGAACACGGCAAGAATATTCAAGAACAACAGCAACACCAGCAGCAAACACAAGCTTTAGTTCCTCATTTTCAGCAACACAAACGATCTCCAAGTCCCAGTGCAGTCAGACAAAGCATTGGGCTGGATCATCTTGATAATCTAGTCAAATTAATGGAACAGCTATCAACCTTAAGGGATGAAAATCTCAAACTGAAGAAAAAATGTGATTACTTGGAAAGTACCAAACACCTTTTACAGATTAAAAGTGCTGTGGAATCCGAAATTGGATACTTAACACAAGGAGGCTCAAATTCACTTCCAAAGCCTAAATCCAAGTCAAAAAGTGTAGTAAGAGTCAAAACAAGACAAAGACTTCCCAGTGCTGAGGATGCTCAATGTTTGGAAAGGTTGGAGGTGCATTCAGAAAGCAGCATAAAGAGACCTAAGGCAGTTCCTCTCAGTAAACGAAGCTTCTCTACTGGTTCTATAGACATTCCATCTGATATCATGGAACAGTCAGGAGAGGAAGAGATCTCAGAAAAAATGTTAAGTTTATCCACAAACAAAAACAGGAGAAGTAGCCGCTGCAGCAGTAAAGCTTCCAAGTCTCCAACAACCAAACGCAAAGCAAAGACTTCCAACTGGTCCAAAATTATAAAAGTCATTACAAGGCAAAAGGCACCAGAACCATATACATTAAGTTTGAAAGGCAGTAGGAAATCCCAGCAAGGCAGGCCACATAGCAAGGAGCTGACTGTGCCTATTTCTGCTGTTGATGGCAGATCTGTAGACAGTGGAGTAGGCAGTGGCCTGGAGGCAGACGGCACAGAGGCACAACGAAAATCCACTTCCTCTGGAGAACCTATGAGTCCCCCTCCTTTCACCAAAGAGGAGCTAAAGCAAAAGGAAGAGTTGGATCTAACATCAGATATTTGGATGGGGCCTCCAGAGTGGATTAAAAAACATGAGGATGAATTTTCCGCAGTGACATCTGACCAAAGTGAAAAGGAAATTATAATTCTTAAATCTAATGACAGCAAAGATGATTCAGATTATCTTCTTCAAGTTCCGATCACACGCAGGAAATCGAGTCCGTCCTTGCTGGACCACAGCGACCGTGAGGAAGATTCCTCGGATGAGGAGGAGGAAGACTTCACTCCTCTGAGGAGATCCTCAAGTTACAAAGTACCGTCTACTCAAGAAAACTCAGACATCAAAGACGTAGTGGACTCACCAAAACTGATCAAGAAAACCCATAAAACACCACTAGGAAAAGTGGGAAAGATCTTCCATGTGCGCAAAGACAGTATAAAGAAGCAGTTAATTAAAAAACAAAGACATCTAGGAGAGGATTTAGACATGGATTTGGAAGGAGAAGATGAGGGTCCTATTGGAAGGTCAACACCTAAAACCTCCCCCTCAGTTTTAAGGCAGAGGACCCTGGAGCTAGCAGAGTCCCCACCCTCTAAAGCTTCAACAAGTCATGGAACTATCGATGTCTCAGCATTGATGGGTGAGTTAATCAGTTTATTTTTCACCTATTTACTTGAATTCACATAAAATGTTTTGGACCATTTATGGATATCCCGTAGAAATCAGTTTGTAGCTGTCCATTTTGTCTGTTGAGGTGCATCAACACTAAAATTTTCATCATCCATTTCCTATACTATTATCATTTTGTAGTTTAGTTAAAGGTAAGAATTCAGGGTAGATTTATAACTTTGAAAAATAAATGGTCAAAGAGAAACAACTGATGATATTTTTAATGGAAAAGATAATACTGTAGCCTCAATGAGTTCCTTTGTCTGTTGTAAAAGATTCATATCTTAATAGTTAATGGTGTCTTTATCTTTTGTATTAAGATTAACGCCTTTGCCTGCAAGTATATATCTATTTTGTTGTTCACATGAATTCACTAAATGTTCAATGGTTATTTTTCCATGTTTATACATGCTTCAGTGTGGTTGAAATAAATGTATTAAATTGGTTCATAAAAACTTCAAGGTAGTAAAATGATTTCATTACTGTCATATGTACAGGAACATACAAGCAACTGATTATGTTTAACATGTAGTTGGATCAATATTCATAAGTATAGCTGTTACATTATATTTATAAGAAAAAATATTGTTTAAATAATACCAGTATGTAAATTTGGTATATTTTTTAAAGGATAATAATATTCATTTCATATGATTAAATCTTTTCAGTTGTCTGCTAAAATCTATAAACTTTTCAGTATGTCTCAGGCACGGGTCCAGGAAATTTTTCCAGGGGGGTCCACTCCAGTGCAAAAAAAAATTCAAACAGGGATTTGTTGACAAGCCAAAAAAAACGTTATCTCGCCAAAGCATGAAAATCCTATTTTGTTTGGGAAGGGGGGGGGGGGGGGGGAAGTAGTCATTGACTTTCAAATCTTCTTCATACCTATGACTTTCCATACCAACTTAACCATATCCAAGTTTTTGAGGGGGGTCTGCATTTCTTAGGGGGTGGGTCCAAGGAAACTTTTTACTTGGTTTCGTATATATATTAAGTAACTCTGCAAATTCCAGAGGGGGGGTAGGATATGTGTCTCATCTATGCTTTAAAGACTTCAAAACTAATTTGGACAATTTCTTAAATCTTATATAATTGAATTCTTGATTTGATGAGGAAGCATTATACATTTAGTAAAAATGATTTTCCAGAAGAAAGATGCTTTGTGCTTCTATACAGCTGAATATTTCAATCAATACAATTCAATCTGACATTAATTTGAAGGGGAAGCGTGAATTTCAGTAATTAATTAAAAACATTTTCAATCAAATCGTAATCATATAATTCTAGAACCAATAATGGAGAGCCACCCTGCAAAACCATAGAACATTGGTCTATTGATTGGTTTGATTTGGATCAACCTTGATTTGCCTTTATTTCAAGTCGATAATGAAATAACATATTTGCAAAAAGGCTTACTGAACTTTTAAGGGAATGGAAGCATTTAGGCGTAAAGAAATGTAATGAAGAAAAAATAATCAATTTTTGAAATTTGAACATGATGGCAAGAAAGCAGGCATCCTGATTATCAGATGTCCAAATCAGAACTTGGCTTGCAGAATGTTTCTGTATCATAAATTTTTGCGCACATATTGAGTATTGTTGCCGAGTAATGACCAATTTTAGAGGGAAAAAACAAATCCGCAGTCGATAAAAGTCACAAATTTCCTTTGCTATCAGCAGACTATGTCTGCACTGATGTGAGCGAAAGCTATACAGTGTATGTATTGTGTTTAAAAGCAATTGGGGTACAATGTTGGGATTTTTTCGGAAATTCTGTCACAATCCTTGCAAAGGTAATTTTTTATGATCCTGTTTGACAAAAATAAATTTAGTTATGTATATAAAAGAGTTAACGAAGTTAAAATTGTTAAAAGATCAATGTTTGTCACCATTTTTCAATTAAAATTAAATTAGCATCAAAATCCACAATGACCTCAGTAATTAAGTTAACATTTCTTGTTGAATAAATAAAATACAGAAAAACTCGGCTATAACAAAATTATGGATATAGCGAAGTATTTGAAATCATTAGTCAAATCCTCAAAATTTTTGTGTAAAATTTTACAGATGTAATGATCTTTGGTAGAGCAGACTTAGGAATATAGCAAACTAATTTTGTATCCCCTAGAAATTAAGTTTAATAAATAACATGAATAAAGAGTAATTAACAGTAACATACTGGTAAGTACCATAAACAGTATTGTTGAATATACATGAATATCTGAAATCTCAGTGGCCTTTTGGATAATGTTCACAGACAGAACAAATGAAATTTTAGCCAAGGGTTACCAATCAATTTAAAAGCAACATGTACATGCAATCTATTCTAATTTGAAGATTTGGTATATGAATGGAAAATTCTAAGTATCCTGATTTAATTTTGTTATCTAAGATTTTATTTTAGGTATCCCATATTTTTCAGTTTTTGTCCATAAATTAAATATCTTGAACAATATTCAATTGGAGCAAGCGTGCATACTCAATTGCCTGTAAATATTTTCTTTTTTATATGTAAAAACTACTGCCAATATTTCAGGTAATGTGTCAGATGATTTTTCTAAGAAAATGAAAGAATGGAATGAACTGCAGACGACAAAGAGATTTTCAGCATCACAGAGAGGTGGGATAGCCCGATTTATTGCTTTTTTCTCCGTCATCCGCCATGATTTAGTATTGGCAAACTCGTGTTTCTCGGTGCTTTCATTTAGACTGTTTACTTTTCTTTACATTAAGAGAATAAAGAATTAAAAGCTCATGGTCATAATAAAAACAGAATTGATGACTTATACTCCCTAGATGTTTGCAGTTCTTAGCAAGAGCTGGGCTATTAATCTAAAAGCTGCGTAAAGAGTTTAATATGCATAAAAAAATTTATTTCCAATTTACCAATGGATAAAAAGCATGCCTCAGTAATAATGTTAGATAACTTTGTTTTATTTCACTTTTACCATAGTGAAATGAGCAGAAACTAAGTTTTCAGCCCCATTATTATCAGGCTTCACTGATAACAATATCGAGGTTTATTTTATATAATTTTAATTTGAACAGAAGGCGAAGGCATTGAAGCTTCAATCCCCGAGCAGATTGCCGCAGTGTCCCCAGAATTCCAGAAAAAAATGGACGAATGGGAAAGAACCAGGAGCATCAAATGTAAGTGTATTGCTGTACAGTATCTTGTAAACATTTGAAACCTAGCATATTTGAATATTTACAAATTGTGTGTGTATGAAATATTCTTGAAATCTGCAATAATCCTTTACTTGTAGAGTTACATTCACTTAAATATAAATGTTATAAATTTGATTAGATGTAAATACCCATATTGCAAGTTGAGTGAATAAAAGAAGCATCGATCTATTGCTAGAATTGACAGGAATTAATCTATGATCTAATATCAGCTTGCACTTAAAGTGTTGTTGTGCATTATAATATGATTTTGATTTGAATAGTTCAAATTCTCGTTAGCTAATTTTATATTTTTTTTCTCAATTATAGACAGCAGTGAAGATCATGACAAGTCGGCATCGCGAGAATCAAGAGAGGGATCCCCAGAAGCCTTCACTCCACCCGACTCCCTGTCCCAGCCAATCAACATCGAGGAAATTCAGAGAAAGCTCACCGACAGCTTCTCACGGAAAATGGAGGAGTGGGAAAAGCAGAAATACAAGGTTAGGGAGGGGAGTCCAGGCCTGATCCGAAGAAACAGTGGCGGAAAATCCATCACTCGAAAAGAGGAAAGACAGAAGAGTAGGAAAGTTAAGGAAGGGAAAGGAAAGCTGGAGAGACAGAGAGAAAGAGAGCTACAGAGGGTGGAAAAAGAACAACAGAAACTGGAGAAAGAAAAAATGAGATTAGAGAAAGAGAGACTAAAAGCCCTGGAGCGTGAGGCAAGGATAGAGAAAATGAAAGGAAGGCTTAGTCAATCGGATATGGATTCCAAATTCAAAAATCCAGTGCTCAGTCCCCTAGCAGAATACAAAGTTACTTCAGATTTTGCTAAAAAGTTACATCAGTGGGAATTAAAGAAAGGACCAGGATCTGTTTCCATGGCAACTTATCTTGAAACACAACAGAAAAGTCTAGGTCAAAGTCCAAGTCCTGATAGCTCATCAAAAAAGGAGAGTTTCTCAGTGGAGGACCAACAACAACCACAACCGGTTAGAAAACTTTCCAAAGGTCAAAAGCCACCACCTTTGACCCTCATGCCTTGCTCTGACTCACCAGATGAAGTGTCACCAGGTGCAAGGTCAAGGTCATCTTTGGACAGTTTTGAAGATGAGACCTCCATAACCACAGAGAGCATGACCGAGTCCAACATATCCAGGTAAAGTTCCGTTAATTGTTCTTGTCAGAAACTATTAAAACTCCCCTAATGCCAAGCTTTAACACACTGGCTCAGTAAATCAACAGAATTTGATGGACAATCGTAAACATGAGCATGGTTACTGGTGACACAGGTATTTACAGGTGACAGAGATGAAATTTCTCTGAAGCTTTTATTGCAGACCATTTATCCTGTGTGTGTCACTGCTGACCCAATAATACAGGCTATACATCTAACATATAGTAATGAGCAATTTGTGTATCCTATTAAGCAACAAGGCCACATACTTCATAACTACGTTCCATATCGCTAATATTATCATTGAAATTTGAGAAATAAGTAATGTTTATGAAGTTTTGGTGTTGAGTCAGAAAACATGAAGTAAATGGCAAGAGGTTGTCATTTAGATGAAGATAAAACCTTTGATTACTTACATTCTTGGATAGCAAATTCCAGCAAAGCATTTGGCACATAATGCCAAAAATATAATGGAGAATAAGATTGCTTCATTTCTGTGTATAGGTTTTTTTGTACTTTATGTGTAATGAACAATCACTGGTACAAGATTTTTGATTTGGCATGTTAAAGTCTGGAGAAAGCCAACGCTCGTTTGCTGGAGGAGTTGCAGGAGAAAGAGATGGAATACGCCAATCTACAGGAAGAGGTCCGCGACCTGAACGACAAACTGAACAAGGCCAGGATACAACATTCCACAGAGCTAGGTAAACTCTCCGCAGAGGTGCCACTAAATAGCAGGGAGAGTGTCTACACAAAAACAATAAAAACAAAAACAAAAAGCAAAAAAACATTTTTGTGTAGGAATTTGAAAGAAATTTTTATGAAAGAATTTTGTTTTGAAGTAAGCACTTCAGTAATATTCCCACACAAAGGAATTTATGATAAGGCCAATATGATTTTTAGAGTTTGGCAACTTTTAATTCAAGTAAAAAATTTTATTTTCTATATGAATTGTCTAAATGTTACAGCCCAGCACAATCTTAATCCAAAGCATCACTTGCAACCAATAACTTTAGTACTAATGTACGAATGGAACTGGAATAAGTCTTGTAGAATTAATGGTCTGGTGAAAAGAATTATCTGACAGTATTTTACCCATATGAAGTTTACACATACCTATGAATGCCATAAGTTTAAATATTGACAGTTATATAAAACATTGTTTTCTCAAAGAATAAGTGGTCGTGACTTCCAAATCTCTTAATCTTTGCAATATCCATGGTATTTGAGATATTGATATCAGTATTTGAGATAACAAAGTTCAACTACAAGGGCTGTTCAAAAATCGAAAATTATTGAGACGTGTATATTTTGCTTTCTAATTAACGTCTTTCGGTGAAATTTGCATATACGTTTGACATAAACTAAGAACTAATAAAAGCAAGAAACATTTTACAAATGTCAAATATTTTCTCTACAATGGTATATAAATGCGTCAAAAGTAGGGGTACCCGGAGCAGTCACAAAATCAGGTATTGGAAATATGCAACAACAATGTTCTAACTCTTGGTGGATCCATAATAAGAGCAAAAATAATTCCGTTTAAGTGTATAATTTTTAGGGATGTCAACAAATAATCGAACCACTATCGTTCATAAACCGAATTTCCTTTAACAAAAATGTGTTACCTTAAAGAAATTTTAAATTCAAAGTAATATCAAACAAACTTTGGTTCGTCCATTTTATTTATTTACAGATCAATGTTGTCGTAAGTAAAACTCAGGGCAAGGTATATTTTAAAATATGTCAGGATGGTAAAAAACAGTTAAAAGTATTATTAAGTTCCAACCTACAATTCCATAAGATCTGACTTAATGCAGCTTGTCATAAAGAATAATTAAACAGCTGTTATAGCTTGTAAATATGTGTAAATTGGGGGACAATTATATGAGCGTAATTAAATGTTTCTTTTTGTATATAATTATATATTGTTTGCACACAATCTCATAATTAGAATTTATCGCAAGCTCTCTGTTTTATTTATAAGAGGTAGGTTTTAATATTTCCCAGTCAAAGGTCACCAACACTACACGAATAGAAATGGCTTCAATTATAACGGGTACATGTACTATCATTATGAAAACAAAGGACAAATGTGAGCGTATGATATCCTGCATTTATATAAAATGAGAAGTCGATATCATTTTAAATTTTTACCTATTGACGTACACGATTAATTGTATACTACGAAAATGTTTACGATTCAGAAATCCGCATAATGGCGACAGACATAGGGTAGATAAATATTGTAGAACTAGTCTATAAAAGGCAAATAGTGAAATGACAAAAATTAGCTTAAATTGCAACGAATATTCGACTATCGTTCGACTAAAGCCTCCGACTATACGACTAAGGTGTCCGAATAAAATTGACATCCCTAATAATTTTTCAACTTTATTTCAAATTCATGTTGTGAAACTTTCATGTCATTGTCAGGTTGTGAAAGATCGTAAAAAAAATTAAGCACGGTAGAGAAATCTGCTAACCACAAAATTGATTTTGACGTCAAGGGCAAAGCAGCCAGCATACATAAAATTTGGTGTAGCTCTATGTAGAACTCTTTTCAAGGATGTGTTATAGTTTGTTATTTCATTGATATACATTCTTTTTTTTTTAAACAATTTCTTTAACCAGAGTAAAATTTACAGCCTTGGACGACCATGAGTTATTATGTACGGTATATCCTTAAGGTATTAAACCTGCGTTGCATAAATCGGCACTGCATGATTCTAAGTCATCCTTTCCCACAAATGAAAATTTTTCACTGAGGTAGCAACAGCATACAATTTTAAAGAATAGTTCAAGAAAAGAGACTGTTTGATTTTTGTAATGTTAGATGTAATTACAAAGAAAGACTGCTTACAAATGCGAAACCGTCTACGTTGTTAAATGACATAGCGATGCTGCTCCCGTCGATAGACATATGCATGTTTATTATTTCACCGAAACTTATCCAGTTATCATATGAATTAGAAATTTTGCATAAGTGTTTTATTCATTCTTTATAAAATGTTGATGAATTTTCATGAAATTATCTCTTTCCTCTATGGAGTAAATGTAATTGTCTCAATAATTTTCAAATAGCCCTCGTATATATCCTAACACTCCTGATTGAGAATGGGTATTAAAAATTGGTGGAGGTGAATTAGTTGAATATAACTTTTAATATACACCCATATATACAGTTGTTTAATATGGATTTGGTTATATAGAACAGCATCTTTGAATGTGTATATATATCTTATTAATAATTGGTATTTTGAATTCTTTATACATATCTTCTTTCTATCTCACTGTAGTTTATAAATGTATATCAATATTAATACAACCTTTCTATATAATCATATATTCATATAGCTAGCCTTAGTATATACCCATATATAACCGACACTAACCCACTAACCCCTCTTTCGTCCAACAGAACACTATAAAGAATGCCTTGCAGGTGGGAGCACCGTTCCCCCATTGTCCCCCTTTACAATGTCCAACCAGCTCACGGAACTCGAGAGCAAAATCCAGGAACTTAAAAGCTTCGGAGAAAACCTTGCCGTTACTCTGGAAAGTGCTGCGGTATGTCTCATCTGAAGAAATTATTACAGTATTACAAGCCTATAGGCCGCATGGATCAGGAAACATCTTTAGCTTAAGTCAAACTAAAATGTAGAAGTCAAGTTTAGGCAAAAATTTCAATATTGTTTTCAAAACTGCTTTACAAGAGTTGCTATCTGCAATGTATGAGATTAATTCTAGATTACACTTTGGAATCTTTTTCCTGATCCATGTCATTGCTAAATGACTTAGTATTCATCTGAAAAACAGTGGTGTTTCAATGATGAAAGACAATCTTTACTAGGTCTGTAAATGGCAGTCAATAGAGGGAGAGGAGAATGTGAACTCAAGACTGATGGACCTGCTGGAAAAGATGAGGCAAATGTTGATCCAAGCTTCACAATCAGGTAACTGCATCTTACTAAACTTTAATGTTCAATGAACTAACAATGTTTAAATCTCTAGACATGAACATGTATATGCACATTGGTATAGTAGGTTTTCTTGGCAAGCTACCATCAAAATACCAAAATAAGGCAAAAGTAGCACCCTCCTTAATGTTAAGTTGCTAGAATTTTCATAAAATATTTATTATATTTTAAAATGTTCTTTGTATGAAAAAATTTGTCTTCTTTTTGTTTGCAGAAGAAGTATACCAGAAATCCTCTGCTCTGCACAGTTTTGAGAAGCTCTACAGTCAAGCCATGCAGCTACAGGTGCAGGTAGAGCATGATTTGTGTGGCTTATTTTTGGCCCCTGATCTGTATGGCTAATTATGGGTCCCTGATTTGTGTGGCTTAAATTGGCCCCAATTTGTGTGGCTAATTTCGGCCCCTTATTTTGTTTGGCTTATTATGGCCCCTGGAATGTTTGGCTAATCATGGCCCTTGATTTGTGTGGCTTAATATTTTGGCCCCAATTTATGTGACTTATCATATTGCCCCTGATTTGTGCGACTTATTAATGCCCCGTTTTTGTGTGGCTCATTATGACCCCTGGAATGTTTGGATAATTATGGCCCCTGACTTGTGTGGCTTATTTTGGCCTCAATTTTTGTGACTTATCATACTGCCCCTAATTTGTGTGCCTTATTAAGGCCCCTGGTTTTGTGTGGCTTATTATGGCCCCTAGTTTGTGTGGCTAATTATGGCCCCTTATTTGTAAAGCTTATTTTAGGCCCTGATATGTGTGACACTTATTTTGGACCCCTGATTTGTATGGCTAATTATGGCCTCTGATTTGTGTGGCTTATAATGGCCCCCAGTTTGTGTAGCTTATTAATTGCCACTGTTTGTATGACTTATGGCCCCAATATGTATGACTAATTATGACCCTGATTTGTATGGTCCCTAATTTGCAACTGGCTCTGGGATATTGTGGCCTCTGATTTGTGTTTCCTTGGATAATTATGGACTTCTCAATTCTTGATTTGTGTGGACCATACTTTCTAAGACCATTTTACTTACTAACTGAGCTTTGAGATACAAGAGTCTATTACATGAAGGTCCCTTACTAAGTGCAATCCTGGTACTATAGCCCCTTATGTTGTGTGATTGTATCTTACTATGCCTGTTACATAGACAAGTGTGACAAATCTAGCTTTATCAGCTCAACACTGTTATATTGGTTGCAGATGCAAAATATGCTGCCTAGAGTGGAAGATTGCAGTGCAGACAAGTGTCTTGTATAGAAACTTGGCTATTAATTAGTGAGAGAATTTTGGTTGAAGTTATACATGTAACCTAGAAATGGCTGGTTCTAAGCTTTGTGAAACAATGGCTTTTTCTCCTATTCCCACTGATATTGTAAATTATGTCAAATTTGGTATCTGATCATTTATATTTGAGTATACTGTATCTGATGTGTCCAGTTAAAGTTCACAATTTTACAAATATTTGATTAAAATTTCAATTCAACATAGAATATCATTACATGTATTTAATAATTGTTGATCCAAAGATGACATAAGAATAATTTCTGATCCCAAAATGGCATTTTTTGTATTGTTAACGGTATTATCTTTAAATATTTGGTTATTTACCTCATCTGTAATCATAATTTCTGTAAGGAAACAAAAATCAATGATGTTTAATTGAATTAAGATTAGTTTCTTTTATTGTCCTTGAGGTCCGTGTGTTGAAACAAGAAATATGTTACATGGTTATTGACTTTGGTTAGCCTCAAACAAACCAGATTTCAGAAAAAAATCTCCCTTTTGATTTCAAAAACCTCTTCTCTTGAAGACCTCTTTTGTCTTTTACAAATATTTATCAACTAGGTCTTGAAGTTTCTCATTTGTCCATGTCAGGAATTGGACAGAGAGGACAATTGGTATCAATAACCATGTACTATAATTTTATGTGACTGATGTACTTTGGCAGCTATGTAGTGTTTCATTGATTGATCATCAAAAATGACTACATATACCAAAAAATGATAGATTTATCATTTATGGAAAAATGATTCTTATCTATCCTGTCATAGAATTTTACATTCAATATAAATGTTTACACAGGTACAAAAAAAATATTAAAAGACACTTTTATTGTCCAGGAAGAAAATTTGAAAATGATATCATCCTGTTTATGTAATTCAAATATCCATTTGAACTAAAAAAAAATTCTCATGGATAAACGTATGGTGATTATATTGCTCTTTTATAAGTGTAAAATTCCAAACATGAAGTTGCTAATGTTTGTTGCAGCTGAGCAACCTAAGGTTGAGTCAGATTGAGCGCAACAAGGAGATTATGTCCATGAAGAGGCAGCTATTGCTACAAGAGGCTAACAACCTGCTGCTACAAGCAGACATCACACGACGGGAGACGGAGCTACTACGCTACAAACAAGTGGCCAAGAAGAACCCGAGTCTGAAACGCTGGAACACGTATGGAGGCATGGAGGGCAGAGTTGTAAGTGTCATTCTGAGAGGTCAAAGTTCAAAAAAGATCATTTACCTTAAATATTTCATTAAAATGACAATCAAATGTCATCAAATTTCAAAAATCTAGTTGGAAAAAAGCACATTTAGGGTTTTTCACTGATTCAGGTAGTTGTTTTGATATGATTAACATCTTCATTTTTCAAAGTTTGATGTACATGTACATTGAGACAGCAATGTAATTCATGTTCAATGATGAAAATGTCATTAATATACTTGTCAAATTTTTGGAACAAAGAACAACCACTTGCTACGTTGTACAGTGTAATTATTTCTTTGATCATTCATAATTTTTATTTTAAAAATAAGTGTATAAATCAGTGTGTCATTAAACAAAACAGTATTTAATCGAAAAAATATATTATGAAATGCAGATTAATTTAATAAATTGGTAGTTTTTCAATTAAGTTGATAGAGAGAAAAGTACAAAAATTAATTGGTAGATTGCCTAAATTTTCAATTCTTAACTGATATGATTTTTGCTATCATTTTATTTTACTGCAAACCAGGATAAAAAAACCTAATTTTACATTGATGTATATTTTGTTTTGTTGTGATACCTGTATTAGTTTATTATTCAATTAAAATTTTTTTAATTAGATATTCAACAAACTATAATTTTATTTTGGCCTGACTCTAATCTGATGTTATATATTATACTTTAACCAACTTTTATTTGTGAGCGAAAAATATCAATGAGCTATGTGACTTCTTTTCACATACATGTATAAATATTTTAAACCAATATTTATATAACCTGATTATCTATATGTATTTATGTAGAAGTTTTCAGTACCAGGGGTTTTTAATATATGTAAAAGTCACAGCTGAATTTCAGATTGATTAATATCGAACAGGTGAAAACAATTGGGTAATTGTTGGCTTACATATATACTAAGCACTGGCTTATACTTTAACCAACTTTTATTTGTTAGTGAAAATTTTCTGTTTTTTTTCTAGTTTTTTTTATGGTTGCTTTCAAATTTGGTATGGTAATTCAGTAAGAAATATTTTTGATGCAATTTGGTTCCATTATCTATTTGTGTATTTATGTAAGAATGAACTTTTTTTATGGTTGTCCAATATATAAATTTGGTATGGTAGTCAGTAGGTGAATTTCACATTTTGATGCTAAGTTTGGTTCTCTATGTCTTCTGGTTTGGAGCTGGTGAAAAAATATACGTTGTCAAAGAGAGATAAGAAATTGTTGAATGTTTACATAGGATTATATACCTATAGAAAATCCAACTACTATCTGTCACATTGTAATTACACCTCTGTCTGCAAATCTTTATTTTGAAGTTAATTAGTCCATTTTGAAATCAAATGTGGATTTAAATATAATTTTTTATAATTTATTTTTGTTTAATTGTTATGATTTCATTGACCAAGGAAACATTTTTTGATTTTCCACACAAATACACAGCAAAACAAATGGTTAGCATTGATAAAAAATATTTGCAAGTTAAAGAAGGTCACAAGTCTTGTGGATATTTCTTGCTTAAAAGTTGTATACCGTTACATGTATATTTCCTGTATAATCTATGATATGTTAAAAGAAATTTTATTTGAGTCAATAATAAATTTATATATATATGAAATTTAAAAATATGCATTTGCCTATTTCATGTTTTAGGTGGAAGGCAAAGAAGCTGAGTCTGTTCCACCATACAAAAGATTCACCAAAAACATCGTCAACAAGTCAGTTGTGACAAATCTTGGAGATTTTTCTTGCACACAAATAAAAGTTGGTTTACTGTATTTATTGTCTAATCGAGGATATGTTTAATGAAGTTTTACTCAAGCCAATAATAAATATAACTGAAATTTTAAATAAAATATGCAATTGCCTATTTCCTGTTTAAGGTGGAAGGCTGGTTGTTAATTAATTCATTAATTAAAATTAAATAAAAAGTAATTTTCATATTAATTATGGCTACTGTTATTCCAACATATGTGATATTTGGAATTTTTTTTTTTTTGGGGGGGGGGGGGGAAGAAAAAGTCTAAGGGAGGTAATCCAATGTAAATTTAAAATATGTTTCTTTTCCTTCATGACATGAATTTTTGGCATATGAAAATGTTTAATAAGTGAAAGACATGTGTTATAGATACCAGCAAGGATGAAAGTATGAGAACAGATGATGCTTCTCCAATGATCACACGTCATTCAGATCCCAAAACTTCATCATCAGTCATCCATGTATCACAAGCCATTCATCCCATTCCACGAAAACCACCAACTCCCGAAGGAGTTCCCACCTCCCAGGATCAAGAGAGGGAACCACCAGAGACATTCGAATCCACTGTAGTTGTTCCAGCCAATCAGGATCCAAGAAAAATCATCCACACCGACAAAGGAGTGGAAATATCGCTCACCATCAAGTTACCTAAAGCTAACGTCAGCTTGCCTAGAGACCTCTCACAACATGAGCTCAGTGTACCCAGAAGCCAAAGAGGAAAATCTGTGGATGCTTCCAAAGTCACCATGAGTCAAGTCAGTGAAATCAGTGAAACATGTTCAGCGTCGGATATTACCGAAATGAAGTTCCCCGAGCTGTTGATACCCGAATGGAAAAAGACAACGGATGGAGGGCTAATGAAGGTGGGGAGGCTGGCAGTGGAGGAACCCGTTCTGAGTAACTCGGTCCCTTCAGTGGCCAGTCATCCACTCAGTGAAACCATTCCAGTGACCTCGGATTCATCTCAGTCAGATTCAGGTCACTACACTTCTGTTTCTGCCGATGTATCCAAGGAGAAATCTGTGGACCAAAGGGTTCCTGTTATCACTGAAGATCAGGCCAGAACTCTGGAACAGATGGCCCAGAACAAGAGACATACATTTACTGGAGTGATGGACACAGGGTCTGATACTGCCATTGCAGCTAAACCTCTCAAACAAACGTCAGTTACGATAAGTCCTATGATCTGTAGACGAACTTACGAGTCAAGTGTTCATTGGCCAAGGTTGAGAAATATATCAAATATTCACAGGATCAAACCAGCTGAAGAACTTCTGCAAGAAAGCAGGAGATATAGACAAGGTCAATCCATTTACATGACAAGAATTTTACAAAAGTATGCTCTAAGTGAAGAAACCAAAAAATATTTTGATGAAAGACAGTCAAGTTATGACAAAGAAAATTTTGCTCATCATGGCTATGTGAAAACCATAGTGCAGAGGTTATCGCGTGAGGGAACTCCTGATTCGGGAGGTAGCAGCAGTAATGTCTCCACCAAGCCAGGAACCTCAATCACAATACACAGGGCGGATTCCCCGCGAACAAAGTCTGAATTTGTACAACAAATCGTGAGAAAACTCTCAGCTCCCAGTGGACCAGGTCAATCTAGAACTGGTGTTGCTCCCTTAAAAGATTTAACCAATGGTGTTGGTGTGAAAAAATTGGCTCAGGCATTTGACAGTGGAAGAAATACCCCAGAAAAAACTCTCTCTGACACTGAGCAAAAACCATTCAAATCTGTGTTAGTGACAAGCTTGAGACAAAAGAGTCATGACTTAGGTCACATTTCCTTTGATTCATCTTCATCCACTTCAACTTTAACTTCTCCGAATACAACAGAAGATTTTGATCCATTTGATGGTAGAAAAGAATCAACTGTTAGTGAACATGTGATAAATTTTTCATCCATGCCATTGTTAAGTGTAGCAGAGGAGGACTCTTCAGATACAAATAATGGCTACAGGGAACGGGCAGCCACGACGTGCGAGGCCAGCTCATCTCAAGGAGCCAGGAGCAGTCAGATCGATGAGATCCATGCTTTCTCCGATAGCGACATTTCCTGTCCGTCTTCTGGTAAACGCCACATATCTCATAAGACAATAGTCCCAGCAGGTGCCACAAAGATGGAAATTGTGTTTCCCCAAAGACTCACAGAAAAAGGCAGTGGAAAGGTGAAAATGGGAACAATAGGACTGCTATGTCAACAGACAATGTTGTCGTTTGATCTCGGTTTGACAATGAAAGCAGAGCAGCAGCAACAGAAGGAAACAACGGAAGTGAGACTCCGAAAAAAGAGCGAGGGTGAAGAGGAAAGACCCCGGCCACTCTCTTCATGTTCCGACACCTCAAACGAGGAAAAGAAAAAAGCCAAATCCAAATTTTTTGAATCCAACTGGTTGCAAAGGCCAAGAAGGTTTTTCAAAGTTTCGAAGTAAGTGATTCTTTTTTTTATAATTGCAGATTTCAGGAGACATGGGAAATCTTAATCATGAATTTTCCAATAAATTTGAAAATTACTAATAATTAAACCAAATACATTTCCTTTTTATTTAACTGCATTTTCTATCAATTATTTATTATTTTCTATTGAGACAGGACATGAAATGTTAAGTAGATCTTACTAATAACATTTAATTATGATTCTGTACCGAAAATCTGAACCAGGAAAACACATAAAAATTGTTGAAAATCTGATCATTTTAGATGCTGCGATAGAACAGCTTCAGAAAATATTAATGTTTTTGATAGATGAAGGAGCTTTTGAAAATATTCCGGAGATTGGTAATTTAAAGTTTTGGCAATAACACCAAACATCTATGTACATGTAGTGTTGTAAATAATGAATGTCACTGAAAATTAAATTCTCTCATATTGCTGGGGTATGTCTCTTTGGTTTTCAGACTAGAGCACTTTCTTCAGTTTTTTTTTATTCTTAACATTTTCTATTCTTGGCTGACTGGCTATGTTGAAAGTTTGAAGAGTTCTCATTGATTGCATATCATATAATTTAAAGTGATATACTAATTTTGCATCAAATTATTGAAACTTTATTTCATCAATTTTTTTAATTTCATACTCCATCTTGATTTTAAACAAAGTACCTCAACTAATGAAAAAGTCACTTCATTTACTTTCCTACAACTTTATACTGCAATGTTTCAGCAAAATAACTACAATTTTTGAAGTACACATACATGTATAGAATATTGTAGGCAACTGAAAATCAATTCAACACACATTTACTTACACACTTCCAAAAGCTAGATATTAATTCTAACTGTGTGTTGTAAAAAAAAAATTATCAAGATAAAGTTAAAAGCAAGAAAAAAACTTATAAAGGAATGTCTATGTTATTTTGATGATTTGCAAATCTCTTACTATTCCATCTTTAATAAATCTAACACTGAGCTGTAATAAAAATTTATGTTTAGTAACATATTGGTGCATGGAAATGGTTCTGAATTTAATACTTGTCACAATTAATAATTAAAGTTCACTCTCAATCTGACACCAAAAATAAAAAGCCTATTAACTTCTAAACCTTGTAGAATGTTAATTAATCTTAGATCTTTAATTTAACTAAAATTACTGAAATAGCATATTTCATACCTATAATAAGAATCTTTACATGCATGATAAAATTCATGATTGAATGGGCTTTGAGATTGGCTGGAAATTTGACTGATGCTTTGTTGCAGTGTTCACATTTATTACATGTACAGTATCCATTCTGGAATTTACCAATACGTTTTTTAAATTTCAAAAAATTAATTTGAAATCTGTTTCTTGTAAATTTTCAGATGCTGACACTTATTGAGTGTGTAAGGTCTGACAAACTGGAGTTGTGTTATACAGGAAGGAAGCTACTGTTGTCATGGAGATGATCACCTGTTTCCATGACATCAAAGATGGCCGCACTCCATGAAGACGCCACAATGGGGACTCACTCAAGCCCCAAAGCAGTAGACGAGTAGAGGCCGTCCAGTTCAAGTGACCATTACTGGTCAAGACAGTTATCTGGACCATTCTCTAACTGCTGTCCAAGGAAAGGAACGACACTCAACTTGATAAAAAATAAAATCCAACTGAAAAAAAAAATCTCCATAAATGACCTTTATTTCAGCAAAATTGTTTTCGCAAATTGGCTTTGCAACCTAGTTACAGGACATTTTAAATCATGAACCTTCGGTAGAAACCTCAATTATAGTTTGTTCTTTCATATATGTTCATTGAATAAAGATTGCTCTGACCAAAAGGTGGTATAATGATCTAGTCTAATTTTCATCTCATCGGATAAAATCTGGACATTTTTATCCTGATTTGTGTATTTATAAATTCTTCTGTATTCAATGTTCTGCCAAATCCTGGTCATAGTCGTTTCATCCATTTAGTCATAGATGATATAAGATACATACAGGGCACACAGAAGATATTGTAGATATTTGGAATGAATTAATTTATAAAGATTTTAAAATAGAATAATATATTATTGAGAAAGAAAAATTATATAGAATATGGGGAAAAAATGTAATTTGATTTTAGACATATATTTTGTTTAGATATTTTTAAAAAAAATCTAAAAATATACCATGTAGATTGATGTAGCATTAAATGCATCTAGATTGGTACTATAACAGTATTGTTCTTGATGGTAGCATAAAATGCAAAACCTGCCAAAGAAAGTGTGCTAAGTCCATTCACTATACATGAATCTCGGTTATAATTCTTCACCCCTTAGAATTTTACTGGGTTTCTCAATATTTACAACCAACAAAATGGTGCTATATATATACAGATATCATGCAGTTTGTGTGTTTGATTAATGATGTCAGAATAAAAACAATGAAAGTTAGTTTGTTTTTGTATTCTTTATAATGTTGTATGCACATGGACCTCTTTCCATGAAATAGAAGAAAATCTGTTTTAAGGGGGGACCATCTTCGGAAACCCACGGGTGATCTCGTCTTTACTTATCACCGGGTGATAAGTAAAGACGAGATCACCCGTGGGTTTCCGACGATGAGGGGGGACCTATGTCGTTCTATGTCAAAGCAGCGTTATGTGACGTCACAATAGCGACGTTTGTTTTTACCTGTTGACTTTTGCAACTGTGGTATAGGCTTACCATTGTTAATAATCAATAGCGTACACAATTTACAAAAAGAAAATTTATACATCTTTCATGGCAGTTTTATTTGATCAATGGAGTGGTCATATTAGAAATCTCTTCCTTCGATAAAACTAGGAAAAATTTTAAAATGTACTTGTACCTATATTTGCTTATGATTAGTACATGTATAAAGTCATTCCTAGGATAATTCTTATAGGAGTTGGTTGTTGACGGGGAAGAGGTGTGTGTGTGTGGGGGGGGGGGGGGGGAGAGAAACAGAATGATTGGAATCAAAAGGAACAGATTAAATCAGTGTAAATTGTTACTAATCAAAACAAAATACTTCTTTTCCACAAAATAGTTTTATATTCAGATGTTTGCCAGTGCTTGCTTACCCTTGCCTTAGTGCAGAAAGGTCAATGTCTATGACACAGAGTACGAAAATAAAAGAAAACTTCACATTTCTTCTTTATTTTATCATAAAGGTATACTTTTTCTTAATGAAAATAAAGAGATAATTCATTTCTTTCAAAAAATATGAATTACAAAATTTTCACACAAAGACTTTTTAAGATATTATCTTTTAAGCATGTCGGAATTGCAAAAATACGACAAGAAAAATGGGGTAATACTTACTTTGTGTGCCATTATAATTTTTCATGCGAGATGAATTATAAAGATTTTAACTTCATTTTAAAGATACAAGTCAAATAATTTAAATACATGTTGATTTTGAATGTGATTTGACATTTTTGATTCTTTTTAGCACATATTTGAGGTAGAACAATAATATCTGAAGATATCTATTTTTAGCATTTCACACTTTTTGCACGTGCTCCTGTGTATAAGCATATAAAGGTATTGTTTTAAATACCTTAAAATTAAGAGCAAGTAGTCATGAAAGACATTGGTCCCCCCTTAATTCAAATTTTCTAGTATATTCAAGTTCTGTTGGTAGTTCCCTCTCGAGAATTTTTCACTCAGATGGAGACGCTAACACTTGCCGGGGGAGAGCAGCTGCTACAATTTGTTCATATACTCCGCTCGTATAGCTAAGAGACAATTATGACGTGACAATGAACTTAGAAACATTTTTTTTCCTGACCTTGCATCTTCACTAACTAAGGATGCTTGCATATTTCTTTGACTACCTGTGACTTCTTTATTGTCATTTACATTTAACTTACATTGTAACCCTGCCCTACCCCCTGGTGTCATGACTTAAGCAAAATTTAAATCAACACTACCTAAGAATATGCTTCCATATTAATATGACTATCATAGCTTTGCCATTTTTGAAGATTTTAAAAGATTTTTTCTTTAAATTTTATGTAAAACTTGGATACCATAATGGGATCTACACTACCTGAGGAAGCTTACATATAAATATGATCATTCCTATTGAATCTTGAATCTACACTATCTGAGGATGCTTCCCTATAAGTTTCATCTTTCCTGGCACAGTGGTTCTTGAGTAGATTTTTAAAGCATTTTCCTATATATTTCTATGTAATACTTTGATTGGCCACTGTGGCTCCGCCCTATTGCGGGGGTTATGATTTGAACAAACCTGAATCTACACTACCTGAGGATGCTTCCATATAAATATGATCATTCATGCCTTTGCTATTCTTGAAAAGAAGATACTGGTATTTAAAGAATTTCCCTATATATTTCTATGTAAAACTTTGATCGACCATTGTGGCCCCGCCCTACCCCCAGGGGTCATGATTTGAAGAAACTTAAATCTAGACTACCTGAGGATGCTTCTCTATAAGTATCACTTTTCCTAGCACAGTGGTTCTTGAGACATACCACCAAATTTTTTACAATTTCTGACTCATATCCCCTTGAATAACGCCAAGTTTGTTTGAAATTGGCCCAGTAGTTCTGGAGAAGAAGATGAAAATGTGAAAATTTCATGACTCCAACAACAACAACGACAAAGGTGACAGACAACGGACAAATTTTGATCAGAAAAGCTCACTTGAGCCTTTATAAAGAATGCTTTATATCACATTTGGTTAAAATTGCCATTGTCCCAGTGGTGATTGAAATGAAGTTGAAGGTGTTAAAAGTTTAGACGGATGGACAATGAGCTTTAGCTCAGGTGACCAAAAAATGACCATGTTTGAAAGCTGGTATCTTGATCTCAAATCTAAGCTATATGCACATCTCTGATATATGTACATGCACAATTAGTCTGGGAAAAGAAAGTTTCTAGCATGAAAACAGCAATAGTTATCTGGACAAAGGAGTACCTTTCTGGCAGACGCCTGCCATTTTCATCGTATTTTTAACTTTGGAAGAAACTGTTAAAATGACTCAGAAAAGATCAAAGAGCGGTAGTTTCATCAACTCCATAAAATGGCCCTTTAATATACCAATTAACTGATCTTACATCCTATTTCCAACATCAACATAATGTAGAGACTTAATATCAGATCCTTTCATTTCATATTTAAAAAAATTCTTCTGAGAACCCAAGTTTTGATACTCAGGCTATGTGAAACTTCAATGTTCTTGAATTTTTATGAAAATGGGTGAGTTTGAGCATCTTCAACTATTGATTAAAATATGAGCCCACCCCACGATCTAAAAATTGTTTCATAGATCAGAGTTTTCCAAAACAGTTCTTTCATTATATAGTTGAAAATTTTAGATCAGAGGTTGGATGTTATGCATTAAAAAACGGATTAAAATTTAGAAATTTTCAAGATTTGAGGTAAATGACGCAATTTATGTCATAATACATGACTAAGAAAAACAAGAGGTCCACATCGCTCACCTGAGCACATCAGTTTGGAAACTCACAAAACAGATCAGAATTGAAAAGTTGACTGAGGGGGTGGGGTGGGGGAGGGGGAGGGGGATTGAATTCTATTATACTACTTGAGAATGCTTCCATATCAATACTGCATATATAACTTTGAACAAGAAAGTTCTTGAGAAAAAAGATTTTTATAGATTTCTTTAACAATCTGTTTGTATATACTAGTATTACTTTGAAATAATTTGAATTTGACTCTCCATCATTTCCCTCCCTACCCCAAAGGGTATCCATGATTTGAACAAATTTAAATCTTCAATACATGACGATGCTTACATGTCAATGTGACCTAGCTAACATAGCTTTTATGTTATTGAGATTTTTCCCTTTATTTTCCTTTGTAAAACTCTGAACCACCATTGAGACCTTTCCCTACCCTTGGAGGTTATGATGTGAACAAATTTAATTCTATATTACCTGAGGATGCTTCCATATAAATATCACTAATATGGCTTTGCTATTCTTTAGAAAAAGATTTTTAAAAATATATTTTACTGTAACACTTGGATCCCCTATTGTGGCCCCACCCTATCCCTAAGGGGTTATGATTTGAACAAACAAGAATCTACAGTATCTGAAGATGCTTCCATAAAAATATCACTAATCATGGCTTTGCAGTACTTGTGAAGAAATTTTTTAAAGATTTCCCTCTATATTCCTATGTAAAACTTTGATCAGTCATTGTGGCCCCACCCTATCCCCGGGGGGTCATGATTTGAACAAATTTGAATGTACACTACCTGAGGATGACAAAATTTGAGTGTCATCTTTCCTGTCCCTATTGATCTTAAGAAATATTTTTCAAGATTTCCCTCTAAATTCCTATGTAAAATTTTGATCGGCCATTGTGGCCCCGCCCTACCCCCGGGGGCCATGATTTGAACAAACTTGAATGTACACTATCTGAGGATGATTTAACATGCCAGTTTCATCTTTCCTGTCCCAATGGTTCTTGAAAGGAATTTTTTAAAGATTTTTCCTATATATTCTTATGTAAAACTTTTACCCAAGGATACTTTGTAGCAAGTTTGGTTGAAATTGGTCCAATGGTTCTTGAGAAGAAGATGAAAATGTGAAAAGCTTACGACAACGACGATGACGACAACGACGGACACATTTTGATCAGAAATTAAAAGCTCACTTGAGCCTTTGGCTCCGATGAGCTAAAAATGTTAGACTTTTTTTCGTATAGATTTGTATAGTAACAAATTTTTTTTTTAATTTTATAACAAATCAAGTTGCATATGAAAATAATGATTTTGCATTCATTTCAGCAAAACACTGCTAGATTATTGAAGATACCATTTGCTAGAAATTGTTTGATAAGATAACTGATGCATTGTACATATCATATGAACTGATATTTTACAATGATTTTTAAAATTTTGATCATTTGAGTGTTCATTAAATTAGCACTCCATAGCACGCACATTCAGTAATGCATTTCATAAACACCAAAACTTCTCCTCTGCTTTTAAGGGCTTGGAACCTTCTGCTTGAAATAACAATTAATTGTTAATTCAAGCAGGCAGCATTAAAAGTTTTGTGCCTTTTTTCAGTTATTTTCTTTCTATCTCATTTTTTCTGTTGTTTTTTTTTTTTTGTTTTTTGTTTTGTTTTTTTTTTTTCTCTTTTATTTTTTTTTTCACTTATATATATATTTTTCCTTTTTTTTTTTTTTTTTTTTTTTGCTTGTTTTTTTTCTTTTTTCTTTCTTTTTTTTTTTTTGCTTGTTTTTTTTTCTTTCATTCTTTTTTCTTTTTTTTTCAGCACAAAACTTGCCAATGAGATTAAAATAATTTTACATTTACAATTCAAAATTCCATACTAAAATTCACAATTTGACACATCAACAATTCACAACTGCATTAAAATATATCACAATTTAACATTTAGAGACAAATCACTATATTACACTTTCAAATACAATATTATATATATTTCTTTCTGAATATCTAGTCACAGCAGAATATTGACTTATTGAGGGATTCAATTTCACAATAAACTATAATAAAGAAAAGGTGACTTTACAAATTATTCTTTCTACAACAGCTGACAGAATTTACACATTCTATGAATACTTATGTCATATTTAACAATCATTACATCTGGAACATATTTAACTTCATCAAAACAATTACAATAACAAACTGTTATCTCATTGGCATAAAAATAAAAAGATAATTAAAGACAAAGCAGCCTCCAACTAGTCCCTTTCAGCTTCTCCTCCCCGGGCCAGCCTGGCAACCGTGGCGGCGAAGGAACTTAAGTTCCAGCCAGTAATGCCCCAGGGTATCGTAAAAACCTACTTACAACTAGCCTTCAACTACTTCATCTTAACAATATGAATATAATTAGCTAATGAAGAAGAAAAAGAAAAGCAGGGGGTCAGTGTGGGAGGAAGACGGAGTACCCGTAGAGAACCCACGTGTCCGAATGGGCGACCCCATACCCTGACATATTCGGACACCCTTTACAAAAATTTATATTTTTAAAAAAGTCTTTGAAAAAAACATTGTTAATAAAATGGATTTACATCAGTGCTTTGAAGATGTGGATTAATCCTGCATTAATTAAGTCCTGCTTCTTCATCCACACAAATGATCTCAAGGATGTTCCTTCTAAAAGTTTCTTTGATTTTCTGTAAATGAACAAGGCAAGAGGTAATTGTCAGGTTTGAATAAAAAAAATTAAGAAGAAACCACATTGCTCACCTGAGCTCTAAAGGTAGAATAAAGTAGAAATCAATACGGTACTTTAGATCACCATATTTTCACAACACCTTAATTTGTAAAGTGACTTAGCTATTTTCACAACACCTTAATTTTTGTAAAGTGACTTAGCTATTTGGTATTAATTAATGAAACAACATTTTCGCTAGCTATATGGTTTCTGTTGTTTATAAACATTGGTAATACAAATATACATGAGAATAAATTTTTCACAAGCAGACAGTCCCTCTTGAGAAATTTTTACTCATAAATAGCACTGCAACATTTTTCAGGGGAGGGATACAAATGTAGACCTTTACTTGGTATTTAGGCTATTGAGCAGTGAGGGATTTTTTTTTGCACCTACTGCAGCATGGCATCACTGTTTATACAATCTCAGTGAAAAACCGGTCTTCTTGTCCCACAGTGGGATTCGAACCCACAATGGTAGGATATCAACTCCTTACTATGCTACTCTGTAGCAGATGCTCTTAAATACCACTGTCCCATGCAACAACAACAAAAATGTGAAATCTAAGTAGAATTTCACACATAAATTATATCAGATGTATCATTCTCGGGTATTAATTTATTGGTATGAATTAAGAGTTAGCATATATGGCTGAACACCATTACAAAATCCAGCTATATATATTGCCAACTACAAAAGAGTCCTGGACTAAAAATTTGGTCTACTAGTTAACTAGACCTTGCTTAATATAAACAATAAGATGATTTGGAATATGAAAATGTCATATACCTGATCAGTATCAGTTATCCACTATGGTATGTCTGGGTGGAAAAGTCTACATCCATCAGAAATAAATTGTCCTCCAGGTGTTTCCACCAAGTCTTGTTGGGAACATCTACATTTTGAAGATCATTGTCCATCAAGCTTGTCTGTGTTTATTGTTTCCACCAATTCCTTTTGGGTGTAGCTGGTGTTTTCACATATTGGAAAATCACTGTCCATCAAGTCTGCCTCAAGATTCATAATGGCCTTGTCTGCTCAAGATTTATTTCACTAAGTCGTTTTGGAAGTATTTGATGTTTTCCCTTCTTTCCGCCAATTCCTTTTTGGTGTAGCCCAGGTGTTTTCACATATTGGAAAATCATTGTCCATCAAGTTTGCCTCAAGATTCATAATGGCCTTGTCTGCTCAAGATTTATTTCACTAAGTCTTTTTGGAAGTATTTGATGTTTTCCCTTCTTTCCGCCAATTCCTTTTTGGTGTAGCCCAGGTGTTTTCACATATTGGAAAATCACTGTCCATCAAGTTTGCCTCAAGATTCATAATGGCCTTGTCTGCTCAAGATTTATTTCACTAAGTCTTTTTGGAAGTTTTTGATGTTTTCCCTTCTTTCTGCCAATTCCATTTTGGTGTAGCCCAGGTGTTTATACATATTGGAAAATCATTGTCCATCAAGTTTGCCTCAAGATTCATAATGGCCTTGCCTCCTCGAGATTTATTTCATTAAGTCCTTTTAGAAGTATTTGCTGTTTTCCCATCTTAAAAGAGGTTCATCAAGCTTGTCTACACTCCAGCAGTTTCCACAAGGTTCTGTTGGCTGCATGCAGCTGCAGTAAGAGTCAGAAGAAAATAAATGGAGAAAATACATCACTGAAGTTTTTTTTAAGGAAAATCCTCTTCAACTTTTTGAACAATTGTTATGTTGTCTCAACAGTTGTTTAACATATACAAAACTTTTTTCAGTTATGTCCCTTAGTTAAATTTCATCCCGAAAAGCGTCGCAGAGAACAGCCACCATTGCGTCCATGACGCTGCATTAACAATCTCTGTAGCAACCATTTCAGTAAACATGTGAATGAATGTAATTTTTCAACGCACTAGCAAAGTGTAATAAACATTTATGATATTCTTGTTGAGATTTTGTTTTTGCATAGAATTTGAATAATAATCGAAGACCATCGAAACATGATACTTAACTGTTATCAGATGATTTCGTCACTAAACTAAAGGACGTCAAACCACACATACAGTCACAAGCGCGGATGCATTAGTTTTTGCGTTAGAAATGGGGGAGGGGAATTATAGGGCAAGGGACTTTGGTATAGCCAGTATATATGTGTTTTCTTATTTTATTTAAGTATACATTAGATTACGACACAGAAGATATATATAAAAAAAATAACAAATCATTGGACAGTTATAATTATTTTAAAAGCGGCATTCTTCATTCTTTCATCAACGATCATTTTAAAATTAAAATGGCTCCTAATAAATTGTATACCCAGATTTTCACATTTTATATGCAACATTCGACTTAGTTGGCACTAAAGTTTGATTTTAAAGAAAAGAAGGTTTTCTTACATAACTTTGAATAGTAAAATGTATTGTCATCAGACTTGAAAAGTTAAACTGAATATGTTGTGAGGTTAGATCTAACACACATGTGCCTGGGTATTATATTCATATGCATAGAGCTACTGTCTGATTTTTTCAGTATACATAAGATCAGATGGTTAAATATTAATAATTATATCCAATTCCTAAACTGTAAGTTTTAAAAGGATCATAGCAAATACAGTGGACCTTCAGATATCCGGACGCCAGATATCCGGATGCTTCAATATCCATGGTTTTTATATTGGAATGAAATTTTTAAATGTTATTCTGTCTTGTTTAACTGGTGATTCAGATATCACATGTCCGGACAAATTGACTGGGAACCAAAGCGTCCGGATAAATGAGGGTCCACTGTAGTCAAATTAAGCATCAGATACGTAGTTCTGCATGACAAAATTAATGAAACAAACCCTCCAAAAAAGTATTTGAGATTGATTTCATTTTAACTTTTTAAATTATTTAAAAAAAACATTTTCAAAGTGTGCATGTAACCATGCATCATCATGCCAAAGTACATTTTCTTTTTATTTGCGAAAAAAATAATCATAAAAAAAATCTTGAGCGGTGCTGACAATGTTTTTCTACATGTACAATATTTTTTTTACATAAAAAATTATCAGTATATGTTTCATAATTGTTTTACATTCTTGATATGTGGTTTATTTATTTTTACAATTAGGCCTTTATTAATGATGAAGATAACGAGAAAATAACATTTTGTTTGCGCTTTATTTCTGTCTTTTAAAAGAAGTTTTATAAAATTTACATAACATGTGAGACTTCTAAAAATAAAAAATAAACATCAGTACATGTATTTATATCATAATTTCCCTATACCCCGAAATATATGTACGTATCAAATTCACAGCATAATTTGAACACTAGAAACCAAATGACCCTATTGCATGGTTAGAGGTGAAATTCAAGAGATAACTGAGGTATTTCAATTGTCAATAATTTACTAACCAATGTATTTTTACATTTATTTTAACCATTGAATAGAATCCTCGACCACAAGCCCTGTTGCATTTACATGCAGTACATATAGAATCTAAGTTTCCCAGGTGAGAAAAACTGAATTGGATTCCGTTTATATCCGTATAATTCAGAAAGTTCAAGGGGGGCCGGAGTGCAACACCGTGGACAAGCTATCTTGTGATAAATATATAATAAATCATAAATGAATTAGTAAAAAAAACTTTCTTTGTTTTTAGATAAGATTGGCAATTTAAAAAATATATATATGAGGTTTTCAATTTAATTTCAATAATCGTGTAGTACTAAGGCATTCACGGTTGTATGGCGGATGCGTCATGTGACTAGTAATGGCAACGCTCAGCTACTGTGACGTAATTGCGGGAAAAAAGTTGTGTATATGTTTTATATTATTAAGCAAACATTCAATATTGGTGTAAAGTATTGGTTTATCTAGCTGAACATCATAACAAAAGTTAGGTATTGCTGATTTTAAGAAACAAGATCAGCTAAAATTTTAGCCAGCTAGTTAATTTGACTTTGTTAATAAAATGATCTTAGATTATGATAATGTCACATACCTGATAAATTTCATATCAGCATCATTTGGCTATTCATCCTCCAGTTGTTTCTATCAGGTCCTTTTAGGTTCATCTGCTGTTTTCACCATGTACTGTTGGGTGCATTTGCTGTTTCCACATCTTGGAAGATCAGCAAATACTGGCTATGCATCATCCAGTTGTTTCTATCAGTGTCCAGTTGGGTGCAGCTGCTGTTACACAGGTCTTGTTGAAGTCATCTGCTGTTTCAACATCTTGGAAGATTAGCATCCATTGGCCCTGCCTCCTCCAGCTGTTTCAACCATGTCATGCCCTAGCTTGTTTACAATTGCAAACTTTTTCGTCTCTGACCAGTGGAGCTAAAAAGAAGCCAGGCTAAAAAGAATAAGTCAGCTAGTAAATTTGACATGGTTAATTAAATGATCTTTAATCATGATTTTCTCATATACATGTACCTGATCAGTGTCAATTATCTCCTTTGATATGTCTTGTTTGGAAGGTCAACATCATCAGGCAAGTCTCCTCCAGTTGTATCCACCTGTTGGGTCCATCTTCTGTATCCATCAAGTCCGAGGAGTGCATCTACTGTTTCCATCATGTCTTGTTGGGTCCATTTGCTGTCTCCAACATGGTCAGTAGGATACATCTGCTGTTTCCATCAAGGCCAGTGGAGTGCATCTTCTGTTTCCACCAAGGAGAGTAGGGTGCATCTGCTAAAAATATCAACAGCTTTTTTCACTGCATGCATTTTACACCAAAATACCCTAGTCAGTCCCTTTCAACTAAGATTTCATTTCCTTAATTTCTTAGATTTACATAACTTTTATTCTGTTTCTTAAATTTGTTGTCTTTAATTTGTTTAAAATGAACGCATACCTTAAATCTGGAAATTTTTACGTCAATTTTATTTTGCGAACCTGGGTCAAAATGCTGTTAATTTTTACGTTTCAAAATTTAGCGAATGACCACATCTTTGTTTACATTTCTTATTGTAAAATTATTTTTACGAAAAATAATTTTGCGAATGCATTGAACTCGCAAATTTGCCAAAAATTTATCTACAGCAAAAATTTCCAGATTTATGGTAATAAAGGTGACAATTTAATAAAGATTTATAGAATTTTTCATTGAAAAAATAAAATGACAACCTGAGAAAGATCTCTGTTGTTATAAGGATGATGACTATGAAACTTGGCTGTATATATTATGGATTTGAAATGGAATATTATAAAGCTAATTGTCTAACAACAATACTTCATTTCAGTTTTCTATATACAGCAAAACTCGTTTAGTAGGAACACGGATGTTGCCAAATCACGGTTATAGTGAAGTTATCTTGGATCTCCCAGCTTTATAAATTTAATGAATTCCATATTTGGAAATAACGAATTATGGATAGTGATTTTATAGTTCTGATGACTTCGTTTTAACCGAGTTTAACTGTATTTTTCAATTATTATCAATTCAATATTTTCTATCTTACCTTATCGATGATGGTTTAGAATTTGGCTTATTTCTCTTCATCTTTAGTGAACAGTGTCCAACTATAAAATACTAACAAAATTTTAAAATAGAGCTAAAATAATAGATTCAGTAAAACTTGTTTGGTACAAACACAGATATTGTGAATTCACAGATATAGTGAAATTATCATGAATCCCTAGCTATAAAAATTTTGTGAAATCATTTCAAGAATATAACAAATAATGCATATAGCGAAATATTTATATCATAGCTAGGTTCCAGCGACTTCTTTAAAACCAAGTTTTACTGTATTAAGGCCCTCAATAAGATGGATGTTTTTGGGTGAAACACACTGTTTCCTCATTATCCAACATGTCTAATGTTGATACTAATGCACAACACAACAATGAACATTAGACATATTCCTTGGAATAAATGCAATAACAAATAAAACTCAGAACAATAATAATTAACATAAATTCATAACTATCATAACAAATAACTAAAAATCTCAACTAAAGCAAATAACTAAAACTCATAACTATAAAAAATAACTAAACTTATAACAACTAGATAAAACTCATAACAATAACAACTAACTAACACTCATAACAATAACAAATACTTAAAAATCACAACAAAAGCAAATAACTTGAGCTCCTTACAAGTAAAATTCATGACTGCCTCAATAATAAATAACTGAAAGTCATAACAATGTCAACTAATAAAAACCTTGAAAACATAATGTAACAAATAACAAATTAAACATGAAAATTAACAACTTCTACAACCCTCATAAACAAAAAACTATAACAACTCAATAAACAAATAATAATTATAAAAACCTAATGATCAAATAACAAGAAATACTAACAAAGGAAACAAAATAGAAATCAAAAAGTAAGAACTGAAATAACAAAGAGACCTAACATCAAAATAATACAAAAAAACCCTCCAGTCCAGCGTTGTTGGCATGCTGTTCCAATATGCCCAGCCTCCTCCAACGATGAAAAGCCCGCCGCCTCCAACTGCATCATTTCCAACGATGATATCCCGGCAAAGAGAGAACAGAGAAGATTAGACAAAGAAAAAACAACAGAACAAAAAACAGAAAGAAACAACTACTACAAAAAATGTGTTGAGAGTGGGGGAGGGAAGAGAAATGTTAGTACAAATTAGTAAGAGTGCACAAATGATAATGAAACCAACTCACCTTTGCATTTCCTTAACAACTAAGCAATACCTCTACTCCAGCGTTGTTGGCATGCTGTTCCAATATGCCCAACCTCCTCCCAGTCCTCCAACGATGAAAAGCCCGCCGCCTCCAACTGCATCATTTCCAACGATGATATCCCGGCAAAGAGAGAACAGAGAAGATTAGACAAAGAAAAAACAACAGAACAAAAAACAGAAAGAAACAACTACTACAAAAAATGTGTTGAGAGTGGGGGAGGGAAGAGAAATGTTAGTACAAATTAGTAAGAGTGCACAAATGATAATGAAACCAACTCACCTTTGCATTTCCTTAACAACTAAGCAATACCTCTACTCCAGCGTTGTTGGCATGCTGTTCCAATATGCCCAACCTCCTCCCAGTCCTCCAACGATGAAAAGCCCGCCGCCTCCAACTGCATCATTTCCAACGATGATATCCCGGCAAAGAAAAAACAGAGAAGATTAGACAAAGAAAAAACAACAGAACAAAAAACAGAAAGAAACAACTACTACAAAAAATGTGTTGAGAGTGGGGGAGGGAAGGGAAATGTTAGTACAAATTAGTAAGAGTGCACAAATGATAATGAAACCAACTCACCTTTGCATTTCCTTAACAACTAAGCAATACCTCTACTCCAGCGTTGTTGGCATGCTGTTCCAATATGCCCAGCCTCCTCCCAGTCCTCCAACGATGAAAAGCCTGCCGCCTCCAACTGCATCATTTCCAACGATGATATCCCGGCAAAGAGAAAACAGAGAAGATTAGACAAAGAAAAAAACAACAAAACAAAAAAGAGACAGAAAGAACTACTACAAAATATGTGTTGAGAGTGGGGGAGGGAAGGAAACTGTTAGTACTAATTAGTTAGAGTGCACAAATGATAATGAAACCAACTCACCTTTGCTTTTCCTTAACAACTAAGCAATACCTCTACTCCAGCGTTGTTGGCATGCTGTTCCAATATGCCCAGCCTCCTCCCAGTCCTCCAACGATGAAGAGCCCGCTGCCTCCAACTGCATCATTTCCAACGATGATATCCCGGCAAAGAGAAAACACGGAAGATTAGACAAAGAAAAAAACAACAAAACAAAAAAGAGACAGAAAGAACTACTACAAAATATGTGTTGAGAGTGGGGGAGGGAAGGAAACTGTTAGTACTAATTAGTAAGAGTGCACAAATGATAATGAAACCAACTCACCTTTGCTTTTCCTTAACAACTAAGCAATACCTCTACTCCAGCGTTGTTGGCATGCTGTTCCAATATGCCCAGCCTCCTCCCAGTCCTCCAACGATGAAAAGCCCGCCGCCTCCAACTGCATCATTTCCAACGATGATATCCCGGCAAAGAGAAAACAGAGAAGATTAGACAAAGAAAAAAACAACAAAACAAAAAAGAGACAGAAAGAACTACTACAAAATATGTGTTGAGAGTGGGGGAGGGAAGGAAACTGTTAGTACTAATTAGTAAGAGTGCACAAATGATAATGAAACCAACTCACCTTTGCTTTTCCTTAACAACTAAGCAATACCTCTACTCCAGCGTTGTTGGCATGCTGTTCCAATATGCCCAACCTCCTCCCAGTCCTCCAACGATGAAAAGCCCGCCGCCTCCAACTGCATCATTTCCAACGATGATATCCCGGCAAAGAAAAAACAGAGAAGATTAGACAAAGAATAAAAAACAACAGAACAAAAAACAGAAAGAAACAACTACTACAAAAAATGTGTTGAGAGTGGGGGAGGGAAGGGAAATGTTAGTACAAATTAGTAAGAGTGCACAAATGATAATGAAACCAACTCACCTTTGCATTTCCTTAACAACTAAGCAATACCTCTACTCCAGCGTTGTTGGCATGCTGTTCCAATATGCCCAGCCTCCTCCCAGTCCTCCAACGATGAAGAGCCGCCTCCAACTGCACATTTCCAACGATGATATCCCGGCAAAGAGAAAACAGAGAAGATTAGACAAAGAAAAAACAACAGAACAATAAAACAAAGAACTACTACAAAATATGTGTTGATAGTGGGGGAGGGAAGGGAAATGTTAGTACTAATTAGTAAGAGTGCACAAATGATAATGAAACCAACTCACCTTTGCTTTTCCTTAACAACTAAGCAATACCTCTACTCCAGCGTTGTTGGCATGCTGTTCCAATATGCCCAGCCTCCTCCCAGTCCTCCAACGATGAAGAGCCCGCCACCTCCAACTGCATCATTTCCAACGATGATATCCCGGCAAAGAGAAGACAGAGAAGATTAGACAAAGAAAAAAACAACAAAACAAAAAAGAGACAGAAAGAACTACTACAAAATATGTGTTAAGAGTGGGGGAGGGGAAGGAAATGTTAGTACTAATTAGTAAGAGTGCACAAATGATAATGAAACCAACTCACCTTTGCTTTTCCTTAACAACTAAGCAATACCTCTACTCCAGCGTTGTTGGCATGCTGTTCCAATATGCCCAGCCTCCTCCCAGTCCTCCAACGATGAAGAGCCGCCTCCAACTGCACATTTCCAACGATGATATCCCGGCAAAGAGAAAACAGAGAAGATTAGACAAAGAAAAAAACAACAAAACAAAAAAGAGACAGAAAGAACTACTTCAAAATATGTGTTGAGAGTGGGGGAGGGAAGGAAACTGTTAGTACTAATTAATAAGAGTGCAAAAATGATAATGAAACCAACTCACCTCTGCTTTTCCTTAACAACTAAGCAATACCTCTACTCCAGCGTTGTTGGCATGCTGTTCCAATATGCCCAGCCTCCTCCCAGTCCTCCAACGATGAAAAGCCCGCCGCCTCCAACTGCATCATTTCCAACGATGATATCCCGGCAAAGAGAAAACAGAGAAGATTAGACAAAGAAAAAAACAACAAAACAAAAAAGAGACAGAAAGAACTACTACAAAATATGTGTTAAGAGAGGGGGAGGGGAAGGAAATGTTAGTACAAATTAGTAAGAGTGCACAAATGATAATGAAACCAACTCACCTTTGCTTTTCCTTAACAACTAAGCAATACCTCTACTCCAGCGTTGTTGGCATGCTGTTCCAATCCGATATGCCCAGCCTCCTCTGAGTCCTCCAACGATGAAGAGCCGCCTCCAACTGCACATTTCCAATGATGATATCCCGGCAAAGAGAGAACAGAGAAGATTAGACAAAGAAAAAACAACAGAACAAAAAAAAAAAAACAGAAAGAAAGAACTACTACAAAATATGTGTTGAGATGGGGGAGGGAAGGGAAATGTTAGTACAAATTAGTAAGAGTGCAAAAATGATAATGAAACCAACTCACCTCTGCTATTCCTTAACAACTTAGCAATACCTCCGGTCCAGCGTTGTTGGCATGCTGTTCCAATCCAATATGCCCAGCCTCCTCCAAGTCCTTGTAATGACATCTCCAACGATGAAGTCTCTGCAAAGAGAGAACAAAGAAATCCATTCCAGCGTCGTTGGCAAAGTCAGAGTTCATGTCATTCTGTCTTAATGTTAAAGACTCTCTTTCCCTCGAAAGTAAACATGTTAGACTAAAGGCTACTGAAATTTATATAGGGCATTTTGGTGCTGTTATTCACGTCTTTCTCACCATCAATTTAAGGTACATGTATCTGGTCTGACAAAATATTGACTGGTCCGAAAGAACATTCAACTTGAACAGATCAAATGTCCGAGAGCAGTTAAAAAATTTCGACAAGTCTACTGGTCATCAAAGGGTTTATAGTTATACTTGGAAATGAGAACTGCACTAAAAACATTAACCTGTTCATTCATACGGAAAATGTAGGTCAGATCCAGCATCCGAAGAAAGTAATAGTCTGTTGTATGCATCCCTAGATCTATCATTCATGCAAGTTTGGTCATCATAGGGCTCACAGTTACTTGGAAATGAGAACTGCACCAAAAACATTAACCTGTTCATTCATCCAGAAAATACAGGTCAGATCCAGCATCCAAAGCAAGTCTGGAAGCGTGCATCCTTAGATGTATCATCCATGCAAGTTTGGTCATCATAGGGCTCATAGGTACTATGAAATGAGAACTGTACCAAAAATTTTTACCTGTTTCATTCATCTCGAAAATATAGGTCAGATCCCGCACCCTAAGCAAGTCTGGTTGTATGCATCCTTGGGTGTATCATCCATTCAAGTTTGGTCATCATGGGGGTTATAGTTACTTGGAAATAAGACTTAAAATTTCACCAAAAATTGCACCAAAAAAGTTAACCTGCTCCAAAAACATTAGCCTGGTCATTCCTTTGCTGAAATTACAGCATATCTGAAATCTCATTTCGTACAATAAAACACACTAGAAGCATGTTCCATGCATGTATGATCAATATAGGGCATAGAACTACTTGCAAAGAAAAGAGCTCC